TTGCTTATGTTCATAGCAAATATTTTCATCCCAATGTCCAAAATCTATGCCTCGTCAAATATTTTCGCCTCGAAAAATAAGGTTTGTATCATATAATTACATAAATGCTTTCGCCTTTAATTTATGGGAGCCTAATCCCTAGCAAATCTAAACCAAGTCGGCAATTCCTTTGGCAATAAGTGGAAGATTATTCAGACAAAATTCTTATTTGAATCAAATAACAGCAATAAAATAGGAACGCAGAGAAGGGGGTTCAACAATGCGATGAACTTGTTAGTAAAAAAATTCTCAGTCGTCTTTCGATGTATCAAAATAAAAATTCAGTCCATGAAGGTGCGATGCATTCTAATTGATTCTCTTAGGAAAGCTGACAAGGTTGTTGCTTCAATATTGTAAAATGCCGGTTTAGATGTTAAAAAAGAGGAAATTCTGTTTGTAAAGTTTAAGCATAATCATTTCAAATTTTTATTGAAATTGTTAATTTCCAGAAAGCTGATTCTTCCATTTTTATTTAATTTCAGTTCCGTTTTTAGTTTATCTTAGGAAAGTTGAAATTTCAGCTTTTTCAATTTTGTTTCTGTTTTTGGCTAATTTTCTGGCAATGTTTTCATTTTCTGTACCCCTGAAAATTCGATCCAACCTGTAATTTAGTTTTATATATTTAAAAAAGACGAATGTAATGATGGAATTGGATCTTCTTATGAAAAGTATATAGTTCTGCATATCAAATCAAAAATTTCCCTTTCATTGGAAAATTTATCTAACATCGGATTTTATCTAATATCTAGTATCTAGTATCTAATTTTATCCAGTATCTCTAACATAGGGTTTTAAAATCATTCGCTGTATGTTTACCACTCTTCAATTTAATAGAAGTTTTCGAATATGCAGAAATTTTATGATTTCAAGAAACATAGTAATGACATATTTCCATTGCATCCTTGCTATTTTTGTTGATTGTCATTACGGTACCACCTTGTTATATTTAGAAACAATTTTTATCTCTTAATTGATTGTCGGAAAAAAATATTTTTGAATGCATATCTTTAATTTATATTCTTCTTATACTATTTAATTTATTTAGGTGTAGGGCTTATATGATACGTACTGGTTATATAATTTCAAATTTGAATAACAAATATTTAATTAATAGCTTCAATTTCATTCCCGAATTGTTATGCAGCATATTCATAATTAAAAAAAAACTGAAAAGAAACATTTGTGTTCTATGAAAAGATTGGAATCTCTGATCGAACAATTAAAAATGTTCGTGTTGTTTTTGGTATTTTAACAAAGATTTCTACAGATTTCTAATTCGCGGAGGCAATAGAAGGGATAAAAATTTGCATAAATTGACAAGCAAAACCAGTAGAATGGATCACTCCAACTTTTAGCATTTGATTAAATATTAATTATAGAACTGCTTAATGAGAAACTTTTGCATCTTTAAAAGGAGTACTGATCATGAATAAGAAGGATGAGTTCACAAAAAAAGACAACTCAGTATATGTTTAGCAAATATTTGGTTATTTGTGGATAAGAATAGTATGAAATGGGAAGTTCAGTATTTTTAAATCATTCATTTACATAAATGATTATTTAAGCATCGTTTTAGAATGAAAAAAAATTAAATTGTTGTGGTTGCATATTTTTCAGAAAATAGGAAAAGCTTAAAAAAAAATGTAAAACTTATATGTAAGTAAAAATTGAGAAAAAAAATGTTTTATCTGTTGTTATTGACAGAAGGATAATCTACCAAGAAATAAAAGCTGTCGATAAACAAATGAAATGATAATGTTAAATTTTGAAATATTCATTCATTCATTTCTTAGCAAAACTTTCTTGATCTTTTTCTAAAAGACAGTAAATGCTTGGCTATTTGCAGAAAACTGCTAAAAAATTAAGAAAAAGGAATCATTTTTGTCTGGATAGAAGAAATAAGCAAAAAATCCAAAAGAAGGAAAGACAACTACATGAGTCATTTATGCAAAATACTTCAGTGCGACTGTTTAACATGTCAATCTTCGAACTATTCAGATGATAAGCCATCAGTGGTCAGATCAACATTTGAATTTGAATTTCTTAGTGTCTCAAGATTAACACCAGATAATAGGTCTTGCCGATTTGTTTGAAATTCCTTGGTAAAACTTCTATCATTTTTGACTGGGCCACGCTTAGCCCATTAGGTGATTATTTTCCAGCAAACTGTTTTAAAAGTAATTAAATAAACTGGTGATTTTAATAATTGAGAGATGTCCTCTTTAGAAAAACAAACTGTTTGCTACCAATCATTTTGTTACACTGAATCAATTTGAAATTTTTTGGATATTATAGCAATGGTGTAGGATTGTGTGTAGAAATTGTTAGAAGAAATTTGAACAGCTTTCTTCTCGATCTCTTCATTAATATTTCTTTCCGTTGAAACTTCACATCCATTCGTTCCTTATATTAGTTTTACAATACTTTTTAACGCACTCATAGCGAAATTCTTTTTAAATCACATAGTAAAAGAAATTCTTCTTAAATCCAATAATTACTGAATCCTGGAAGTTCATACTGAGATTCTGTAATCTGTTATGATCTGCAATGTTAGACTTACGAACATCACTTTTAAGTTACCGTCTTTTACATTTTTATCTTTGGATCTTACGAAAAAAAAGGGTTGTTTTCACTTATTAGTTGATATTAAGTTCTGGCATGCAGATCATTTATTAGTGTAGGATAAACTACATACCAATGGCACAGGATGATAAAATAATCGTTTAAAACATATTTTGCGATCATTCTCCTCTTTTTGTTCGATAATCCATCCTCTGTTTTAAACTGTTTATTTCTTCGGAAATTTTAAACAAAGTTTTGATCACTCTCAAAATTATGTATTACTTCTATATTTTGTTCACCAAATGTGACGAATAAAAGTGATAATTAAAAGGAAGAGATTTTAATGTATTGACGATGGAAATTATGTTCAACCTGCATTTAATTTAATTTCGTTCATTAAATCAGTTTCATTTCACTAATTAACACATCTCTGCACGTAAGTGGAAAATAGAGCATAACTAGTTTGGAATAAATGATGGTCTGCTTCTGACTAGTATTGTTTATTCTACCCAAAAAATTTACGAATAACCTTTCATGCTCTCCTTCAAAGCAAATACTCTTGAAAAAAGTAGTGGAAACAGCAAAACTATCTTTTATCATTTATTATTGACTATTTAATTCCGAATAAGAAAGTTATTACTATCATTACTTTTAATTCCAATAAAAAGAAGGTAGGAAAAATGTGTGATCCATGAAATCACTGGTAATAAGCATATAGATATTTTAAGCATTCTTTCTTAATTAATAATAATGATTTCTTGAAGATTTTTTTTGGTATTTTTTTTTGTCAGTGATAAAATGATGCTTGTAAAGAGAAGCTATTGGATGCAAAGTGACCGACCGGTTTTAGAAGCGTCTAATCTTGTTGACATGCATTTACAATCAACTCAATGCTATTATATTCACAATAATTACAGGTACGTTTTGTGAGGAGTGATGAAAACTTGAAATTGTCGTATAGATTTTTTTCTTTCTTTCTCTCTTTCTTGCTTCACTGTTAAGATCACAGAAATACATTTCTCAAACGATAAATTAACAATACAGAACTGCACGTTTTAAAATGATTCTCCAAACCTTTACACTATCGTTGAAAGTTATTTAAAATTTTTTATAAATGAATCAATAATGTTCTTACTCCCAGGACTTATTGGTCTTTTTCTTGGGATCTGTATTTTAAATGAATATATTTATATTCATTCATGGACAATTTGCAGTTCATTATCACCGCTGAATTCTTATTCACTTATTTTTATAGCGCAGACTAATTTACTTTGTGATGCGATTTGATCAACGTCGATGGAACGCTCACAAGTGTTGTATTATTTACATTTCGAGTAAATTTGTGCACCAATTCGATATACTTTGTAAAGGAGGTGGCAGGTAGCAGGACAAGTGTACGAAGCTGATATTATTTGGATGTGAGTGCCTTCTTGTCCTTTAATCGTAATGATGCAAATGACAAACGTATCGTATTTTGCAAAATTTTTCTGGATTTAATAAGTAGATTTAATGAGTAATTAACTTTTTTTGCAACACGTTCAGAAATTTGTACAAAATATACTTTTTTTACATTTTGTTGAAGCATGAAATTTAAACAAGATTATTTATAAATCACAGTCACAATTGCGGAGGATTAAAAGTCTTTTAATCATATCAACAGTATATTTTAGCATTTGATATCACAAATTATCATCAAAATAAGCAAAATCTCCAGAGTAAAATGTTTTTTTAATAATTGCGAAATAATTGAAATTTCTATAACGATGATCTACAATTTCTATTAAAAAATTCCGAAACAGTCTTAGTAGCTGGATGGAATGCTTCTTTGAAGAATATAACGTGTTGAAAACAAATGTACTCAGTATGGGAGTTTGGAAAAAGAAAGGGAAAGGATAATGTGGTGAACAATTTGACTAATGAAAATACTATATGAATATCCAGTGTGCAGTGGCATATCGAGTTATTTGAGGTTGATCTTTACCTGTTGTCTGCAGTGATATTTTGATAATAGGAGCATACATACAACAGTTCTCGTTCTCAGCCCCGTCAGCACTTCGTTGCTAGGAAAACGTGTATTAAAAGGTATCAATACTGCACAGGTATGCCACTGCATCTTTATTCATTTCTAACTTGATCTTTCAAAATCCAAAGGACATTACTGCTACTTATCCCGACGTTGAAGATGGAATGTGAAATTTCCCTTACAAACTTTGTATCTGTAGTGGAACTAGGTAATGAAATTCCCTCAAAATATTTTTGAGAGAATATTTCTTCTGCACTCAACAATTAAACAAACATTGCAGTAGTTTTTGGTACGGATTAGATAGGCCGTCTATGTTAAACTACAATTGAGACTTGCAATTCAGGCGACCTGCCAACTTTTTTTGTAAGTGCCAGTGATGATAGGAGTGGAGGTGAAGCAGAGAGGTGGAAGATTGGAAGAGATAGACATGGGAGACCTGCGATCTCATCTTGAGGGGGTCTCATTGAGTAGTGTCAAGGAATCATTATCACCATCTGTGTCACAAATGCAGTATGTCGGACGGAGGGACATTCCAGAGGGAGAAAGAAAGCGTTGGAGAGAGGAGGAAGAAAGAGAGGCGGACGTTTCAGGTAAAGGAAAGGGCGACTGTTGCTGCTGTCGGGAGGGTGCGACAGGGAGCATCATTGGAGACAGGAAGGGCCATAGCTCAACGCACTTTAGTTTGTGTCGTGGTAGCGTTGGCGTGAATGGACAGCAGTTGGGGGAATGGGGAATAAGTCGTCATCGTCGTCACAGATGCCTCCGTATCTATTAGGATCAGGATCAGGTTCAAAAAATGTCCCGAAACATTACTATACAACACCTTTCATCGCGCAGTCATACGGAGCACCTGTTTTCCATCAGTCAGTCAATTCGCTCCAACACTTCAGTGGCACTGATTCCGGATACATGACCAGTCCAGCTGATTCCGAACGATGGCAAACAAATGTTAGTGATATTTAGTGTTTAATCTTTTTTATCCTTAGTTGTTTCTTCATAAATTGCTCCAAGAATTGTTTTATATTAAAAAGTAATCATTTCAATCTCATCCCTTCTCTCATCATTCTCCTAGTTGTCCAATTCTTAAGGCTTTTTAAAAACAGGAGAAGAGTTTCTGAAGCCAATCTTATTGTAGTTTATTTTAAGTACAAAAAATTTCTGATTCAAGTTGTTTGGTTCATGAAGTGAGAGTGATGTGTAATTTTAAAACGTTCTCCTTCTCAAAACTGTTACGGATAATTTTGACTGCATGATTGACAAATTTTGCTGGTTAGTTAAATTAAATTAAAGTTCTCAACTACTCACTAAAAATGTGTGGATTTCCCTATTTTACATGAAACTGAAAATATAATTGATTAGAGTTCTCTTCTTAATAAAAGTTGTGAGAATGAAGTGAGAGAAAAATTCGTCAAAATTGGAGATTTATACAGTTAAGAAAGGAGACGTATTTCATTTTGGTACCCAATGAAACTTTCATACTTATATTGATTTTTAGGTCAATATACGGTCCCTTCATCTCACAAACAACAGAATCCAATACATATTAGCCCCCTATTTCAACTATCCAATGCTCTATAAACATAAAATAATTCACGCATATCAAAGTGAAGTTAATCCTCCCTAAATGCACTTTCTATTCATTGATTGGTATTGAAATGGATAAGTGACAATTGTTGCGGATTGTTTCTCCTTACCTTTCCCACAATTATTCCTCTTAGGTGATCATTAGCAATTATTCCGATAGTCAATTTACCAATATTGTTATATCTTTTACCCCTGTGATTGAAGTCTTCTTATAAGTCACTCTGAATCTAACAAATTTCAATCTGTTCAAATTAGATGCATAGTACAGTTTTGTGGAATTATTTTGATGTTTTAAACGATTAACAGATCAGTGTTATTAAAATGACTTTTTGGAATCTTACTAATTAGAAAGAACTGTTTCGTTATTTTACCAACAATTCATAGCTTGTTATAGAGTTTCAATTTTTGTTACATCTAGAAAAAATCACTGAAAAACTTATCTAATTTATCACTGTGATTTGTAGAGTGCTTTCACGCAATACAGAGTTTCTTTTTACTTTCATGAATAAATCAATCGAAGAATGTGAATTTTTGAGTTCTTAGAAGTAAGTAACAAAATAAATAAAATTATTTAAAATGTTTGCTAGCATTTTACGTTACTTTGTATTAATGATCTTAAATATGATGAGTTCTTTTTATCGCTCTTTATGATAAATCAGTCTTTTTTTTCACTACATCATTTCTGAATAATTCATCTTTTCAGCAGCTGTATATGTACCTTTAAAAACAGCGCAATTCATGGAAAGGTGTTAATTTTCTTTTTACACCGATATAATTAGTTGTTAATGAAATAGTTGAGAAAATAGAGACATCATAGTAACCGTAAAGTAGGTAAGTGGTTATGGTAAAAATGTTAGGAATTTTTACTCTTTTTCCTTTGTTTCATTTTCAGTTTTTTTTCGAAATATTATAATTGATAATTTTAATAAGGATACTTTTGTAGTTTCTAAAACTTTTTTCTTTTAAAAGAAAGAGCATCTTTTTCCGAAATCTTTTTGCAATGAATGTTTTCTTTCCTGTATTTTTATATCCCAGATAAGTCAGAATAAGCTTTCTGATTAGGTCAACAATAATCCTCACATTCGTCGTGCCCTTTAATCCTTCGTTTGCAAATGTGTTCAAAATTCTTCCACATTTTCTTCGATATATTCGCAGAAATTGACTATCGAAAAATTTCCGTGCAGATATGCGTCTTCTATATGTATTGGATGTTCATTTATCTGTCAAAATTAAAATGAATACGCTCTTTCCACTTATCTATTTTTGTTCCATGAGTCTAGTTGACTTAAAAATCAAAATATAATTAATGCCAACTTGAATGTCTGCAATGAGTTCCATCTATGGTATCCGTGATCACTTGTGTATCGAAATTTGTGTTACTTTTTTAGACTTCTCCCAATACAATGTATGATTAAAACATGGACAAAAGTTCATTTTCCATAAAAGCCTAATATTTACGCTCATATTGAAAGAAAATTTTTTTTTGTAATTATCAGAAATTTGAAGAATCTTCTCAGTTTGTTAAATACATCACCGGCAACGATTAAGGATTCCTGCCATGCTACTGGTAGTATACAAACATCGCATACATATATTTATTAGCACATACATATATATATATATACACACACACACTCAAAAAACTAAGTTTTTCTATGGACAATTTATTCATTACTGGAAATTTTACTTTTTAATCGGTACTGATAAGAGACGTGCATTGCGTAGCTCTGCTGCACTGATAAGTAACATTGTATGTTCGCTATGATTTTCATTTATTTTTTGGATTTTAAATACAATATTTTTTATATAATTGATTGAGTTGAGTTTTATAATTTTTGAATAGTGCGATTGATAGGCTAATGCGCACGCAGTGTTACTGCGCCTTATCTATATTCACTTATTTGGTTATGTGTTTCAAAGCAGTTCATTTGTTTCTGACTTATTTTCAGAGTTTAATATTTAAACGGGAAAAATTTACAGAACTGGAAAATCGGGAATTCTCATTTATCGCTTAATGAAGCATTCTTTCTAAATGGCCCACCTGGAACACCATCATCGGTGCTCCCAATGCAAGCAATTCCGCCGCCAACTCTAAAACAATTCAAAAAGTGGCAAAAAAGGCAGAAAAAAATATTGAAAAAAATGAGCTCCATTCCTGCGAATATTATTCCACCCCATGCATCAGTAACACCTGTGTTACAATATTCTCGTGCTTTTTCTGTCGACAATCTTTCAAGGTTCAATTTTCTGCTTTTGAAATAGTAATTCATTTCAACATTCTTTCGAATAAAATTTTAAGTGACCTATTGATTTAATTAGTGGCCCACTTAAAATTTATGGTATCTGATAATATCCATTCAATCAGTGACTGGTATATTGATGTTACTACAATTTACTAATCATTTAATTATATAATAATAGGTACAATTTAATCAATAGATGGTCACTTATTGAAATGCTGATGGAATTCAGAAGCACCGTAATGTATATCGAATGATGACGGATTTGTTCTTGTTTTCAAGGACAAATGCATAAAACCATCAACAAATTACACACATTCCAAAACACATACATATATGTATCCTGAACCGTTTTGCACAGAATTTTATGAAGAGCCTGTTGATTATTCTATTTCTCTTCTCCTTTTATTCCATCTTTGCCTCCATTAATTTCTTTTTATTTTCAAAAAAAAGGAATTTGTTTAAGCATGGAAATATTTAAATAATCTACCAAGCCATTTCACATTTCACATTGTTTTTACAAGAAAATCAAAAGGCAATGCATATGGAAAATGTGAAATTTGAGTTTATTCACCTTTAAACATATTTTCATGTCCCCAAAAAAGTTCGAAAACTTACATTCTTTCTTTCTAATTCATACCATTAAGAAGCAGAAGTGTCCATTACATCTAATGAAAAATAGATAAATAAATTATAGCTTTGAATATTAAGCTTCACCTAAGTGCGTTTCTTATCTTTCCTTTTTGTATATATCATGAATATGTAGGATGCTTGGCGGAAAACTATGATAAGAATTTTGGAATAAGAAATTAATAACATTTAACTTAAATAATTATAGTTTGCTTATTTTAAAACTAAAATTAATTTCGGCAATGTTTGCCACTGTAGTTACCTGTCGAGTGTTGCAGGCAAGTTCTGGATGGTTATGTAGATATTCCAATGGCACAAAAACGTATCTGGAAGGAGTGCAGGAATGTGGCAAAAAATCAATCATATGGTAATATTGTTCCTGATATGCCTTCTGCTCCACCCAAATCATCTTTTAGCAGGTTAATCAGTTGGCATATCCACAATAGCTCTCGATCCGTCTTTCTTTTGCTCATTTCGAAAAAAAAATTTGATTCTTTTGAAAATTCAAATTGGCAGATGGAAACTAATAGACAGGTTTTAAATGGTTCAGTTGACTGTTTTTATATAATAATCAAATTTAAGGAGCTGCTCAAATGGTTTTGCTGTATCAGATTTACGAATGACCCATTCGGCTCCATCCACGAATACATCTGGTGGAAGTCGTCTGACGTCGACTACCGATCATTCATCGTCGTTACACTATCAAACGCCATCACCAGTACAGTTGAAGAATTCGTCGAATCATCATTTGCAGCGAATACAAGGATCCAGGAGTGATGCTGGACCTGCCAGAACACCTAGAAGGTTGCAGCAATGGAATTTGGTTGCCAAAGATGGACGACCATCAACTACTGTGCGGCATGAAACCGCTGATATTATTGACGAAGAAACAAGAAGTGAAGTTATAAAAAGTGAAATTGGTCACAAATCATCGGATATAGACTATGCATCCAGAAAGACCGCAGCAATCGGTGAATGCAGTCATCCCAAAGTAGCAATGTCCCGCGATTGTGATGAGCGAAATTATGGATATCAAAATGGTATCGGTGGTTCTGCCAACAGAAATAATCAGTATGGTCATTGTGACACAAATAATGATGATATCAAATTAGAATGTAACATACCTGTTAAAATAACACTAGAAGCCGAGGAAGTTTCAGAGAAAAGTGTTCAGTTGTTCTCCAAAAATATCACTAATTCAATCGACGATGACAAGGTTGCCTCTTTTTGTATTTCAAATACATTTTAAATGAAAATTTTTCGTTTACATTTATTATTCTTCTATTCGATCTTGTCCTTAAATGTACACTTATGCTATTTCTTTATCAGCATGACCATTTTATCTATGTAACTACATCATTTGTATTGTTTTGACGGTTAGAATTTGTACACTTATTAACATTTTAGAATCTCGAATTGTACAATTTAGAACCATATGCAATTTTTAAACTTTGTCTAGGTATTTGCAACTGATGTGATAGCTTCAAATCCATTCCAACGATATAATTCTGCTCCTGGAACTGCAACGCAGAATCAAACCACGCAGCAAGCGCAGTTGGGATATTTTCCTCTCAAAAAGTCCATTTTAATCTATCTCATCAATAATTAAAATTTTTTAAACGAAAGAAATGTGTTAAATACATTTTTTCACTTATTTGTTGTGTACTTTTCAGGATATACTTTCCTCAGGATTCTAATGTGTTGTGTCTGCTCTATCAAATGCTTCCTTCACATGCTTTAATGTTGAAGTTCAATCTTTAATTTTTTAGAAGTGCAGACTATGGTTCTACAATCAGTTCATTAACCCAGAGTTCGAATATGAAGACCGAAGTCAGCGATATTGACTTCAGCTGGGTGAATGATGTCGAAAATCGCCTCGAACGAGAAATTGCTTTCGTGAGAGAAGGTTTCATCGCATTTCTATCATTTCCATGAATTGTGGTTTTGAATTTGGATTCGTATCAGTTCAACTTTGTCGTAAATTTTATTTTATCTTTGTTTTATTTCCGTTTTTTTACTTCAATAATTTTTGTTTCGTAGATTCTCGACAGCAGCTGCACCGACAACAGCAATTACCAATACAATATTTTGGAATAAATTCAAACCAATCCAAAACTGATAAAGATGAGGCAGCGATGGTTGTTTCACCGGCACACACTACTACTACAAAATCACTTGAAGTATTCGGCGAGTGCGAATCTCGCAAAGAACTCAGCCAAATACATTCTGATGTTCGTTCTAAAGCAGCAATGTTCGATACAGAAGCTTTTCGAAATGAACGAAAAGTTGATGAACAACAGGTTCTATCATGTTACTAGAATATTAGCAATCACTAATTTGTTTTAAAAGTAATTGTAAGTATATTCACGCAGCAATGTTCTTATTTTACCAGGCCGCGTATCGTTATCGTTCACGATCAACTCCTCGTGGTAATGTGTACATACCTCAGCCCGATTACCGAAATTACGATCAGGCTTCTGTAGATATGTCACAAAATTCGAACCAATACAGCGGTATTCATTCAAGTAATGCTTCCATTGGAACTGCGCCGAAATACGATCGATGTTCGCAACGCTATAATGTGAGCTATTGATTCATTCCAGTTAATTATCCCTGGCGCAATCAAAATTCACAGAAATATTCTCATATCATTTAAGTCACTTTATGAACTTCCTTTTCGTCTAACATCATTCCTTCATTCTAAGATTAATATAAAGAAAATAGACAGCAAGTACTAAGTCATCAGCAGAAGACAAAGTGAAAAGTTCTATTAAAATGATGTATAATATAATTATAGAATCTAATAATCTCAAAGAGCAAATTTCATTAATGAGAAAACCGCAATATATAGCATTTCATTAACTCTCTTTTTTCTCCATCTTTACGAAGGAAGCGGAAGTGGTGAATGATTTTTACCTCATAGACTAGAATTATAGAGTGGATTGGATAATTCTTCCAAAAATATCAATGATGGTTAAATATCATTGATGATTAAAAAGTTTTCCAAAAATATCAATGATAGTCAAATATCGTTGATGGTTAAAAAGCTTTCCAAAAATATCATTGATGGTTAAAAAGCTTTCTTTCTCGGTCACTGGTCAATTTTTGCATTTTCAGGAAAGCAACAATATGAAGCTCAGTGGGAATGTTACAGAAGTAGGAGCAAAATATGGCAACTCTTACCATAGTAATAATAGTGAAAAAATGACTAAACAGCAACAACAGCAGCAGCCGTATACCGATTACGGAGATAAAATGTTGCAACGTAATCGAACATACGATGCAAGTGAGTGCTATATTCAGAATGCAGCCCAACGTAGCACTGAGAAACCATGGAGAATATCCGTCGCTTACTAACCCAAGTTTTCTGTTTTTGATTTCACAAAAATTTCTCTTTAAATGATGTATACATTGCATGGTACTTATCTTTTGATGAATTGCATTTATTCATGTGCTTTAGTTTTTTGTATTCTTTTAAGTTCTGGATGACAGACACGGTTAATTCTAAAATTATAGCTTCACTTAGATGAAACATCGCACTCTTGGAATTTTTCACGATTTAAAAGTACTTTGCATATTGAAGTCATGTTTATTTCCTTTTGTTACTGTGATTTGCTGGAGTTGTTTGTTTTTTCTTCATATGTTCTACTAAATATATATATCAGTTGTGGCAAGTTTGAAGAACATAATATTTCGTGATTTCTTGTTCTAATATTGTCTCAGTTAATCAATTTAGACTTTAGTAATTTAGTAATGTCGCTACACTATCTCTAATTCTTTAGAAGCAATGATATTACCAAATTTCGAAGAACTTAGTGTAATTGCTTTCAAGAAATTAGAGATTGATGCTCAAGAAAAAAAATTATACCACACCTCTCCGCCATTGCTTACATTCATTCACTATTTTTGAGACGTTTTCCAAAACTGTTGAGAGTCTTGAAGACAATCGATTGATATTCCAGATCTATTCGTCTAGATTAATGATTTTGTGCGCTTTATCTAACAATTTAGTTTAGGTGATCACTTGCACATTTTTGTTCAATTTTTATTTCCCGAAAACTTATTTGAAAAATCTTCGAACTTTTCCCCACGGACTGCACCAATATCTGCTTCGAGATTGTTCCTTCAAATGATTTCGATATGAAGTTATAAAATGAAAATGAACTCAGTATTTCGTGATGCTTTTGAGGTTCCCAACAGTTCATCACTAGCCATAGCGAAATTTGATTACAGCAGAAATCCCTCTCTAATATGAAAGAAACCTTCAAATGTATGCATAAGTGTCCTAATGATGAAATTAGAATGTCCGGAACGGATATAGGCTTGAGCATGGGATTTAAAAGATTTAGATTCATAAGCCATGGAAATAGCTTGGGAATTTAACCTTTGCATTTATGTACTAACCAAATGAGTTGCTATGCGATGGGAAGTTAATTGTACAGATTTCCGCTGAGATTTAAGGTCCCCTTAAATTTTTGATAGTTTAAGTGGCTACAATAACAGTTTTATATTTCATTCACTTTACAATGCAACTACCAGGAAGGTCATGTGAAAAACATTGCAGAAATGACTTAACAAGTATAAAAAATCAAAGCAGTAACAGTTCATAAATGAGTGAAAACACAATATAAACCGGCAAAAAAGAACCGCGTAATGATATTAATAGATGGGAAACAAAATATCACATTTCCATATAAGCTATACTTCATAACATAATAGATGTTTCCAACTGTAGATGGGAAAAAAACACATGAAACAATTCAAGCGAATCGCGTATGAGGAAAAGAATGCATAATTCATATACTGATATATAAATCATATTAAAAAAAGAAAAAAAACAAATTTTTGTGTAGAACATTTTCCTCGGCCGATTGATTCAAGTACGAAGATGAAGCTCTTGAAATTACAATTTAAAGGAAAGTTTGAGGACTGGAGCATAAGAAAATGAGCGTTAGTCGGCAGCACTTCACTTTGAAAACATAAGTGATAACGAGCATATGGATTACGAATTTGTGATGTTTATGAGTTGAGCAAATAAAGAGCGACACTATAGTGTTCTTCAATGATATGACCCTATATAGCTTTGATAATTCTAGCCCGTAATGTCTGAGACGTTTGAAAATATTCCACTGTACAAACTTACTGGATTTACGACAGGCGAAAGAACCTTTCCGGCGAGATAGAAAAGGACAACTGATAATTAAATACGTATATGACGAACGTGTGCAGAAAAAGATATGAACTTTTACATACTTTGTAATGGGAGAGTTTTTCCATTTAAATTCTTGGAAGATATGACTATGATAAATTTGGAAAAAATTTGATGCAAAACCATTAAAAACTGACCTAGTCCGTTCGAATAAAATTTTAATTTAATCGAACCTGAAGTCGTATGAAAAAAAGATAAATATCGCAGAAAATGTCATGCTTACAAGACAATAATATAACGCAAATTTCTGAAATAAAGGAATCACATGTCAAGTTTATTAGCATACAATAACCTTGCAATTATAAGTCTCTTCTACAATATCTGTATCTGCCACGAATTCCATCCACATTTAACGTTCGATGACTTCTACTGTTGTCTGATGCTCTCTCTAGTTGGCCAAAAACTATTTTTTTTATGATAAGTTTGTTTTACAAGTGGTCCGTGAACGAAATCGTATCGGTGGAAATGGCCAATCAAACCTTTAAAGAGATATTTGCAAATTAGAGCAATTTATCGATATTTAATCACGATGTTACAACAAATACATCAAAACCTTAAAAACCAGGAGGCAGAAAAATGAAGAAAAGATCCCAATAAAAATAAAATAAACTAAAAATCTTTCGAAATCGCTCTGTTCAAGTTGACTGACTTGAAGTTCTTATTTGTTTCGAATAAATCCCGAATGAGTTGGAGGTGCGATTTTAAAATCTACAACTGAGAATACCTCGAAATATAAATGGCAACAATGATGAAAAATTCATTTCCATCGTGCATGAAAAAATACCTTCTTGGTACAGGCCTGTGCAAGTTTCCTTCCATGAATAAAAATAATCGGTACCAATAAAATTTCGATAAATGATTACAGTGAGAGTTCGCATTCTGAGAAAAAATGTTATTTCGTTCAACATATGTTTACAAAAAATAAATGACAAGGTAGGGAAAACTAATCTTGTCGATATAAATTTATTTCCAGCTTTGTAAAATAAATGGCAAATCTCATTAGTGACAAAACATACTCGAAGACTTGGGAAGGCAGCTAATGTATGGTAGGTCCAGAAAACCCGCGTGGATATCCAATATGATATGATAACATCAATCGTGTAATGAGCACGCGATATCAGTAGTAACACAACACCAGCAGTAGAGACCATTATTGAAAAGAAATGCAACGGTTTCCAATGTCGTGGACTGTCTAAAATAACTGTTAAATAGGAGGGGCATTAGCGATTTCTCATATAATGACCACAAAGCAGAAAAAAATCAAACAAAGAAGCAATTCTAAAACAGATTTAATTTTTCTCGGAAGTCAAAAGCTTTGTGGATTCATGATAAACTTGAAACTTGAATCTCGTGATTTTCCTACCCTGCTAAAGAGGAAACTATTCAAGGACTTACATTCTGTGATAAATAAGCAACTAGTGACAAGGACAACTGTATGGCCGCTATAAATGTAATCACCACAAAGTGTATGCTTTCCGTTGATCATCAACCCAGCACCACTTACAATTCGCATCGCTCTAAGGACTATATTCGTTAGAGTATAATCAGCGTCCTAAACATGTAAAAAATGATAGAAATCATAGATAAAGAGAAGTGGATAATAAAATTTAAATTCTTAGATTTAAAATGCCAACACTTCTGCGAAACTAGCGATAAAAGGATTTCCTAATAGAACAAAGAGGACAAAAGTAAAATCAATTAAAGAAAATAAACGAATATGATTTAATTCTAAAACTTCAAAGATTAAAAAAGTTTAATTTGAAAAATTTTTTGACCACATCGAAAAGAAAAGTAAAAACAATCGGAAAAAAGTACTTACACTTAGACGTGGTGAGCAATAATAATTGGGATCTGCAATAGGTACTTGTGTCACGAGCATCGTTAGGCAACGCCCAAAATATAACAATGACCCGATGACGGCAATTCTTCTGCAAGACAGCTGCTTTTGACCTATGCACTTCTTGGTTTTTTTCTTTTTTGCTTTTAGGCAGCTTTCCGGAATAATTTGGACTCAGTTTTTTAATATGGATGATAAACAGATTCATAACAGAAATCAACGAACCTAAGTACAATCCAGCGGTGCCTGTGTATAAGAGTTAATGCAAGCATACATGTGAATGAGGCAAGCATAAGATATTCGGACACTGTTAATGCCCATGGAATATAAGGCGTGTGAGCGAATACAGCATCCGGCAAGGGCGGTTCCTGTGGTACTTTTTCATGGATGAACGATAATACGAGATCATTGCATACAGCCGCTGTTATCAGCAAACCAACTGATATCTTCAATTTCCGCTTTCAATTAATTATTGGTTTAAGCAAATGATTTAATCTTTTCGTGAAAATTCTATTCAGTTAAACTCTTTTTTATCATTTCCAACTGTCTTTTATTAACATTACCGCCAACTGCAGAAAATATCGCAAATCAATATTAAATAGTAGTAAAAACTTACGGCAGCTTTATAACGCTCTTTTGGGAATTTATCAACAGAACTGTTTGATGTCTGAATGATAATATCGGAAAGGTTGAGATCGATTTTAACGGTATTATCGGCTGACGACACAATACTGTTTAATAACGGAGCACGTCCCTCATCGCTTGCAATTTCTTAAACTTTCAAGGGCAAGTATTTCGACCATCAGAATAAGTTCCCTAATTTCAATTTACTACCAGAGTCAGGAACATTTCTGTAAGTACATGTTATTGGTTACTTGTGCCACATCCTTATTTATACGCACATTTACCTGTTGTCCCTAGCTACAAACTGCTTCGATTCGACGAATTAACGTAATATTACCCCAACCAATTCATTCCAATTACCGAAATTAACTCTGACCACACTAGTTTTCAGAAAATTATATTCAATAGAAAGAAGCACCATAATTATCTTCAGAGAAATCTTCTGAATTGGAACTGCTACATATCCTTCGTAGAGTACTTGAAGCAGCAGTGATTTGCTCATCCAACATTACCTTCACCCCACCAGAAAATGACCAAATATCTCTTCGATGCTGAAACCCAAACAGTTCACTTAATACAAAAATGAACCATGTATGCAAACGAAAGGTGACACGCAATCGTAGCAATCCTTCGTTTTTCACCAAAGCTGTTTATTCTTTGAAAAAAAAAAGTGGACAAATAAAATTA